AATTATCAATTATATGATTGCAAACAAGTTAAATGCGGTTTCACTCACATTCTCCTCACTCTCCCTTGCTTCGTTCAGCGCTTGTCTCTCAACTAACAGTAGAGGAACTTGCTGATCCAGTTTCATATTTATGCTTTTATAGAACCTTAGTATATCAGCATGAAGGGGCTGGCATTCGTTAGTATCCATGATAGCAGAATCAAGACACCTTAAGGGCAATATATCCTGTCCCTTGTGGCTGCATGTGAATACAATTGTATCGTTACATTCTTTTTACTTTGCTCCATACAATTTCCTCCACCTTTCCCTACGCAAGCCTGTGATTAATATTTGATCATATAAAAATACTAAATTGGACTGACCTCCATTCGCTCACAGCTACAACAGCGAGGAGTATTATCATAATTTCAAAAACATATCGGAACATAAAACATGTCGTAGTTTCTATCGTCCAACTACGGTTGATTGAATTGATATAGTTAAAATATTTAAAGAAACCTGATAGGAAAATGCAGGTTATAGCTAATGATCTGAATACACAGTGATACACTAAAGTTAATGCCATGTACTAAAACTAACCCAGAAGCCATCTCTTTGAAGTTCATGTGCCGTTTCAAAATTTCATCTTTCAGGTCTTTCAACGCTTTATATCTGCAAAGAAAAAATGAAAACTAGCATCTTAAGTTCCCTGCATCAAATTTCCTACACACCAAAAAACAAAAGTAGGTTCCTAACATAGCTGTGTAATTCGGTAGCACAGCAAAAGTTGAAAACAAACACGTTTCTCTGCACCTTTCTATTCGGTGATAGTTACACCACATGAAGATTAATTGACCCCATAAATGAAGACTCACAGACCTTAAGCATAAGTCTCATCATTCAGGTATTAATGTCTGTTTGGTTCTGCAGTGACGAAAATTGGTTCTGAGTGAATTGACTTTGTTCAAAAGTGAGTTAAATGTAAAGTGATTTATGTTTATGTTTGGATACATTTATGTAAATATGATTTGAACAACAAATTTCAGTGTGAAAATCATATCTAAACTCGAAAGCTAGAAATCCTAGATTTGGTAAAATACGTCTTGGATTTGAAAGTAACATTCTAATTAGATAGAATTATATTTTATTTATTAATTATTGAGTCAGGAAGTAGAGTGACACAATCTTACTCAAGTGAGCCAGGTGTTGGACTATTTTCGTGTGTCTTAGAATGAACAGGTAAAATACGTCTTTGTCGGAGATGAGTCAAATTCATAATTTGTTTTATATATTATACAATATAACTTTATTAGATACTATAGGGTCCCTATATATATCTTACTTTATTTCCTTATTTTGTTTTTACCTGTTTGAAGAATCGAAATAGATCATATTTGTTAGTTTAAAAAGTATTTAATTTGTATTTTAAGATACAACTTCTTTTTATGTTTTCCAAAACAATTCTCTTAGAACATGTGTTGAGTACTTAAGTTGATTAGCAACCTTTGTGAGAATATTTGTGAAGTTAACAATTGGTCTACTATTTTTATTATAATGCATACTATGTATGCATTGACAAATCTGAGAGATGCTGTTTTTTCTGCGTGCTTTGAGACTGTGTTTGAAAAGGAAATAGAACCCAAATGAAACACAACCAAACTTTTGGATCCTCTAACTTAGCACCTGTCTATCAGACTGTGTTTGAAATTGCAGACCTCATAATGTGATCCGCCACAACACGGTGGCCACCAAAACTACGATGGATTATGATTGCAAACCACCAGTGTGTTTGCTTTATTGCTAGCACGCAGTCAATTTTCAAAAGCGTGTTAACGACAAAACAACAGACGGACATTGACTCAACAAGCATTTGGCCTCTTCCACTGCTAATACAAATAAGCCACACATCAATCTATGAAAATTGCAAATTCGCAATGCAACTACAACTACAACCTTAATTTAAAACCTCAGTAACTTTCTACATCATGGGATACTACAATTATGTACCTGTTTCCTTGAGCTTTTTTTCTTTCTATAAATAGTTTAAGTGATTAACCAGAATATGGATTTTACATGCAAAACCTATTTTCACAACCTTCACCTAATGAACAAGTTAAGCTTTTCAACCCAAAGTTTGTCATGAACATTTCTATCATTAAGCAAACCTATATAGTTTTCGGCATAGCAATGAAATTTCACATGAGCAGCAAAATCTGAAATCATACTCACTCGTTTACTAGGAAGAGCTATTATATCAAGCTCCTTACACGCTTTTGTAATAATCGTCTGCATTTGTGCCCTACAAAGAACAAAAGTACAACACTTCATCAATATTCCTAACTCTAACATCAACGCCAAGCAAAACAATGTCTTAAGATAACATTAACCAGATACAATCTAGCAAGATATGATAATAATACAACACATACGCCATGTTTTACACAGGACCGTCTATAAAGACGTGCAAGGCATACTATTGCACATGCACGGTCCAAAATTCGTCCCAGGTAGGACCTCATAAAATATTTGTCCTAGCAATATAGGCGCCTATTTGTTTACACAGAGTCTCCAAAATTTAAACACGGCTTTGGTTTTAACTTTTGCGCGTGGTGCATAATAAAAGCAAATACTCGTAGGACAGAACATCATAACATGTAAACTTTCATTCTACTAAGTCTTAGGTAACAGTTTTGACAGAAAAAAAACTACTAAAAGTACAATATAGTGAATCAATTTACCTATATTGAAATCTTACTGCCAAAATATGTTGTTTGCTGTGAGGCATCTTGAATTTTTCGTATGTCTTATCTTGTCAACCGCCAATAAGCGGAGAATTTAAGAACAGTTGCAGCTTGATACAAGTCTTAGACATCCATGCATGCATTAGTTTTCAAATTCTCTCACCTCAATTTCCTTTCCCTGTTCAAGAGTTTCCTAAAGTTGCAAAAAGAATCTCAGTTATATGATAGAATAAATAAAGTTAACTTGAAGCTTAAGTTTTCAAGCATAGATTATTGGAATTCTGAAACAAATGGGAACCATGCCAGTATGGCCAGTGTGCTGCATATGCTCCTGTTCCTCATCCCACCATGACTCCCAACTCTTGTTTGAAGGAACACCAATACCACATCGATTACTAATCCATTTAGTCCAATCATCCCAGTCCTCAACTATCTTCTGCCACTCAAATCCTGATGGATTGAAAAGGAAAGGAGCAAACAACCAAGAGCAAACCAAAAACCACATTGACCATGACAGAAGAGCATATGCTGCTGAGTCAGGTGTTGCTGATCTATAAGAGATTCAGAGTTAAACTTTGTGGTATATTTAAGTTGTTGGTGATTCTTATGTGTATTGAAGTTATGAAATCTGCATGTTTTGGTTTGGAGTGTGTCGTGAGTGTGCGGTTCACATTGTTTTTATTCATGTTATAAGTTTATGACCACCTCTTTGTAAATAACTTGCAAGCTATATGAAGTCTTGGTATGCTGAAATTTGTGCAGCCTGCTTGTAGCTTTGTGTGGAATTTGTTAGCATAGAGATAATTAGCGTACGGTCGAGATTCAGAAGTCTTAGCGTTATCCGTATAGTTATGTTACTAGCATTAACATAAGGTCACAAGGAGTCAGCTGCCAACCTAGTAGTGGTTAATCCATCTAACCTCATTCATATAAACAAAGACATCATCTCCATTCTAAATAATGTAGTATGATTCAAATGATGGGATCTATCTACTATATAGTCTTCAGAATCTCCATTCTTAAGAAAAACCTGTAGCAAGTACACTCTGTAATTTTGGGAAGTTCTCAGTTTCCACTGCATGGAGAATTAATAGATGAATTTTAGTTTGAATTGTATGCTAGGATTTGGTTGTTAGTTCATCAGTTTCCATGATAACATTCTAATAGTTTTGTATTTGCTCTTGAAATGTTGTTAAAGGAATGCATTTTCATGATGCGTTTGCTTGTTTTCTCAGGAAAAATTAGGACATAATCTCAAAGTATTCTGCCGCTTAGCAACTTCTGCCAAAGAGATCGCAATCCAGAAGATTATTTAGTATATTTGAAGCATTCTTACAGCTTCCAAGTATATGAGCTAGTTAGTGTTTATAACAACTAATTAGGATGGCAAATCTCAGTTTACAATTCTATTTACTTTTGAGCCTATACCAGTATTATACCAAATGCAGGAGAATTAACACAAAAACTGTAACTAAGTTTACCAAATTATTTACAAAAACGTAAGGATGGAAAATCTTAGTTTACAATTCTATTTACTTTTGAGCCTATACCAGTATTATATCAAATGCAAGAGAACTAACACAAAAACCATAACTAAATTTACCAAATTATTTACAAAAACGTAAGGCTCCTCAACTAAAATATACTGTAATGTTCTCAATAGCCGTAGTTGGTGCCATATACAAGACTATAATTTGTCAAAGACACATGTTATAAAGCACTTGATGGTTGAGATGCATAAATAGAACATGTGTTGAGTACTTAAGTTGATTAGAAACTTTTGTGAGAATATTTGTGAAGTTAACAATTGGTCTACTATTTTTATTATAATGCATACTATGTATGCATTGACAAATCTGAGAGATGCTGTTTTTTCTGCGTGCTTTGAGACTTGCCCCTTTTCTTTCAACAACAAAAGAAATTAAAAAGAATTTTGGAGGAAATATTTTGACCATTACAGTTACCTAATCAAACACATAACAAAATCTATAAACAAATTACAATTACCTAATCAAACACAATGCAGCTAACCATTAAGAAAAACAATATCATATAAAGAGACAGCCAACAATACAATATATAGTGGACACACCACGTTCATAACATTCGACAAATTGAAATCTCAGACTTAGACAAATGAAAAAAGAAAAACTCTAATCATAAGATGTCGAATGTTAACCGGAACAGAAAAAGTTTGATTGAGTGAATAACCGAATATACAAGTTACAACAACACACTGATCATCATTTAGGATCAATCACAGCGCCAAATCTTTCTGATTCAAATTATCTTTTTGTTGGAAGTATAATAAGCTGGAAGCTGATCATTGAATGCACCACGGTTAATATAATAACGCCGAGTGTTTTTAATTTCTGAGCGGACCTGTCTTAAGAAGTTTAATTGGGCAGCAACTATAGCATCGTGATCATAATTTATTGGATCAATTAAATGACAGCAATCCGGAGAATCTGCAACTGGCGGACAAGACTCAATTGGAGGAGGCTGAACTGGCGTGTCAACATACTCAACTGAGGGAAGTTCTATTGCATCAATTATACGATCCAAATCCGTAGAATCTGGAACTGGCAGACAAGACCCAATTGGAGGAGCCTGAACTAGCGTGTCAACATACTTAACTGAGGGAAGTTCTATTGCATCAATTAAACGATCCCAATCCGAAGAATCTGAAACTGGCGGACAAGACTCAATTGGAGGAGCCTGAACTAGCGTGTCAACATACTCAACTGAGGGAAGTCCTATTGCATCAATTATACGATCCCAATCTAGAGAATCTGGAACTGGCGGACAAGACTCAATTGGAGGAGCCTGAACTGGCGTGTCAACATACTCAACTGAGGGAAGTTCTATTGCATCAATTATACGATCCCAATCTAGAGAATTTGGAATTGGCGGACAAGACTCAATTGGAGGAGCCTGAACTGGCGTGTCAACATACTCAAATGATGGAAGTGGCGACACATCCATGTCGCTCCAGGTAGGCTGTTGAGTCTGTGAATTTTGGAATGAAGGGGGCTCAAAATTCATGGATCCATATATGGGGTCAGAAGAAGAGATATTTGACGCGACATTAAAACCAGTTATAGGGTTATCATATCCATGAAGAAGGTTGGTGTTAAGAATCGGATCACATGGAGTAGACAACATAGGGTATTGTCCATACTGATCAAATACTTCCGGGACAGCAGCACTCCTGCTACTGGAAAAAAATCTTTGCTGAACTACTGCACTAGGCATGTATAAGGTATTATGAGACGAATCTGAGCACTGTCTAACCAAGTCGCTAATTGGTTTGTAATCTTGAGAATCAAAAAGTGGTGGCATCATATCTGGGCGGAATTTGTAATATTTAAGGTCCAAGTCAGATATATCAAAGTTGAAGGTTTCTGTTTCATCATGCTGGTTGGATTCATTTGGCAATGTGTCAGCACTTTCTTGACTGTCATTTAACGAATATTTGGATATTATCTCGTCAGGATAGATTGGTAAGCCATCTCGATTCCGTTTCTTAGATCTTGTGTACCAAAAGTTCTTTATCTCGTTATCTGTACGTCCAGGCAGCTGAAAAGAAAAGAAAGAGGACTAAGCAAGGCAAATATACTCGACAGAACATGTAAATAACAAGCTCAGTAACATAACACATTTAAGTAATACTGTCCAGGAACAATAACTTGATGATCAAAAGTAAGATTTATTCAAATCATCATTTGAAGATGCATTCATATTGAGAAAAATGGTATTATATTCCACAAGAAACCAATGCAGGATATCATCTACACATTAATATTAACATAATATACACAAACAAAGTTAAGTTATTAGATATACCATTTTAGCCATATGAGCCCACTTGGTTCCCTTCAGAAAGTGACACTCAATGATTAGGCGTTCTTCTTCGGCAGTAAACGGACCTTTTTTCACTCCTGGCCTCAAGTGATTTGACCATCGGAGACGACAACTTTTCCCACAACGAGCAAGTCCTGATTTCTTTTGGACTGCTTTCCAGTTTCCCTCTCCATGCTTTTTAATATGATCTTTCAAAATTTCATCCTCTTCATTTGTCCACGGACCTTTCTTTAGAGCAACTTCTACTCTTTGATCAGCTTCTTCCTCCGGTAATATTGACCGGCTAAGCTTTGACCTTTTACCAACATCACTGCCACTTGATAATGATGACACTTTACGTTTTCGCGTCGAAGTGCTATCAGCTTCGATACCTTTCTTAAGAGCAACTTCTCCTCCACCCGCATTAACTATTTGATCAGCTTCGATACCTTTCTTAAGAGCAACTTCTCCTCCACCCGCATTAACTATTTGATCAGCTTCGATACCTTTCTTTAGAGCAACTTCTCCTCCACCCGAGTTAACTGTTTGATCAACTTCGATACCTTTCTTTAGAGCAACTTCTCCTCCACCAGAGTTAACTATTTGATCAGCTTCTTCCTCCGGTAATACTGACCGGCTACACTGTGGACTTTTGCCACCATCACCTGGTTGTTGCTTTGAAGTGCCACTCATGACTCAATATATCTAAAAAGTCACAAAGTTTGAAAATTTTAGCACATAATTAAACATTATTTCTCAAACGTAAAACAAAAAAAAAACTCTTTTCTTTTCTAAAACATTCCACAGTAGCTCTCTCTCTTTTTTCATATGCGTTTTCCGAATCAATCATTTACTCTAGAATAGTAGCAATTTTGTATATTTCTTTTATAGTTTTTCTTTTTCATATTCTAGAGTAGCATGAATTTTGTATATTTCTAAAATAGTAGCCTTACTCTAGAATAGTAAATCCCAACATGATGGCAACCAGGTTTGGTTTGGAGTTACGGTAGGACCCGGTCTGTCTTACTTACGAAAAAACGAGAGGAGTAAATCCCTAAAATGCAAGGTTTGAAACCCCATCCCTCTTTCGGAAGGTAACACAATCATCCCTCCATTTTCCATCAAACCTATGTGAGAAATGAGTTCATCTACAACGATATCCCTTACCATTATTAAACCAAACTCTGCAAAATTAAACTTCTCTTCATCTTCTTCCCGTGACATCGCCGCCTCACACCTCTCTTTTTCTAGGTCACGTGAGCTAACCTCGCTATCAAGTCGTCTCCTTGATGTTCGACGCCATACCAGACAGAAAAAGGGTTGTCGCGCCATGTCCGAGGGCCGACGTCGGCGAAAAATATAATACTCACTCCTCTCGCTCTCTCTCGACTCTAGGTTCCGACAAACAACAACAATGCAACAAATTGTGCGATTGAAAAGAAAACTTGCAGAAATTAAATCAGGTGCGAATTTGCGACCAATTTTCAATTGTTGCTGATTGGGTTCGTGCCTTCAATCTTTCGTGCGTGTTGTTTTTTTGACTCTTTGACTCTGCTCTTTCTGCTCGTAAATATTTATTTTTTCAGTTTTTAATTCTTATTTATAAAGCAAATTGTTAGCGCTAGTTTTTGAATGAGTTTAAGACTCATTTGTTACCTTAATTTGTATATTTATTATGTAACAACAAAAGTGTTTGAATTAAATCCTCTCCAGTGAGGTTCGTATCTCCTCTCCCCAATGAAGATGTGTCTTCCCTGGTAGAATTTGTGTCCCCTGCGTGAAAGATTCCCTTGAACAAACATCATTAGTCATGTCTGAACTATCTTGCTTACTTCGCTCGGAATCTTTCCCCAGTGTGTTGGGTCCTCGTGAGTGGTTACTCGTCGTTTCGCCGTTCTTTTATATTTGCTCGTGTGTCCGCATCTGTCTTGCATTCAAGCATCATATAGCATCGTTTAGATTCATGGCATATTTACGTTCATCCTTTTTGCATACTATCGGATCTAAGGGACAAAATTTCTGGTTTACTATATTTAAATACCTTTCACTGCGATTCTATGAGGATTGTCATCTCTCATCACCATCTAGTGAAGATATTTAAATAGGGGCAACTGTTGCACCCCAAATTTTGACCCCTTAGATCCTCATCATCATTTTAGGATCATATTCAGTTGATTAACTAACCTTAACCCATTTCCAGTTTATCTTTGTTAAGATGCAGATGAATTAGGGTTCCGTACCGTCAAAATCGGGATTTCAATGGTCTGACCAATCAATGTTTTGGATTGATTCAACTTCAAATAAGTCTCCACAAGATCAAATATACTCCATTGGATCTAGTATGAATTCAATTTGAGGTGGTCACCCAAGAATTGAGAACAGTGCAGTTCAAGACGCCCGATTAGGGTTTTCGATCAGGAAAAGTCAACTGTAGTTTGAATTTTGGTTTAAAAAGTGTTTCAATGGTGGGATCAAGGTCCATTAAGTTCCTATGGCTTAGTAAAGTCCATCCAAAGAGTTTCAAGTCCTCAAAATACCCGAAACATCAACAGTCGACTCGGTAGCCACCGATCGATCGTTCGGTTGACCGAAAAGTCAACTCTTCACTCATGAGGAATTTGACCTAAAGATGGGAATAAAAAATGGTCCTAATGATATATTACACCTACCCATGAAGTTTCATGACCATTGGATCAAGGGTTAGGGAGTAATCGCAAAAGTTGGGAAATTAAGGTTTTGAAAAGAGCAAAGCCATAACTCCTTAACCACACAAGGGTTTTTGACCTAGTTTCAAGGGGAATGAGTTCCTAACACAAGCATAAATATTTTAGTACCTAATTGGGGCTTTCTAAAAAGTACAAGTGGGTTCCATAACTCTTCCTGGTTAGAGAGAACCGAGGTCCACAAGTTGGCAAAAACTCACATTGGCAAAACCAGGTCAACATGAGTTTTTTTGATTCCAAAACCTCTCCAAATTGATGCTAATCAAAGACTAAGCCTCATTTATGATGTTTACATTGTTAATAAACATGTTTAACATCAATTCCCACGAAAATGGACCAAAGATCAAAGGAAATCATTATTTAATGCAAGTTGTAAAAGTGAATAGTGAAGAAAGAGAAAAAATGTGGCTACCCTTGTCAAATCATCAACTTTAATTCAACAAGTCACATTCTATCCTATCAAGCATGATGAAAAAAATCTATGGGGCATGGAGAATATCTTATTAGAGTGTCTTAAAGACAAAGATGAAGATTGCATTGGAAAACTCAAAGATTTTCATGATGGAAGGTTAAAATTGGCAATTTGCTTCACTTTTGCCCATACCTTGATCCAAGGCCTTTGGCTATAAATAGAACTCACTTCTTACATTAAAAACACACAAGTTCCATGCTAGAAACCAGATAGAACTTTCTTTCTTACACAATCACAAGTTCTTACAAAATCTCATTAAGTTTCCAAAATCCCTCAAAATTTGCTTTTGAAAAACACCTTTCAAAACCATTTCCAAACTTCTTCCAACTCAAGAAACACTTCAAACACATAAAGTATGATGTATTGAAGCTATCCAAGTCACTTCCACACTTATGTAACAAGATCTTGGAAGAGCTCTCAAGATCTCTGGTTTTATTATTGCTTAAGCTTGCTTCAAGAGGTAAACCTAAAACTCATAAATGTGAACTTTCCACTTGCATTCCACATGTTACCATGACTGTTTTTTTACCATGATGATCTTGAAAATTTTCAACTTGTAACTTGATTTTTCTTGTGAGATTGATCTTGTATTATTCTTAAAATTTTGTTAACATGTTTAAATAATCAAATTTGTTTGATTCATTGTCTTACCATGTGCATTTTATTCCTTTTATCATTTAGATTTTCATGTTTTGTTCATCCAAACTTCAAAAAATCATAACTCATCCATTTTTCATCATTTTGAACCCATTCTTTTTGCATTGTGTTTGTCTTGATGCCTACTTTCATGTGATGTTTTTTAATTCCATGTTTTTTTTCATATTTTCATGCCTTTTGGTTGCTTGTAAGTTGCCTTTATATTGAGATCGTTATCTCGCGTATGCAGATGAATTTCTTTTTCACCGTGATCATTTGTGTTATGATATTCATTTATACTATGTTAGTTAACATGTTAGGGTACTCTCCCTTGGTTGTTACCATTATTTCATATTGCTTTCCTCCTAAATTATGAGGTTAAACTAATTTGCTTGTATTTGATTGTCATCGATACATGTGGTTGTTACCTTCAATCTTTGTTAAGATATACCTTTAATCTTTGTTAAGATATGATTTCATCTTTGTTAAGATACATGATCTTTGGTTGTAACCATGCCCCTTTTGTTTAAAGTATTGATTACTTTGTTAATTATTTCTTCCCCAAGTGATGGAACTTTTTTAGTTCTCATCCAAGTTGCCTCATCTCCTCCCTTCCAAAGGAAAGTCTCTCTATTGACCCTTGGGTCATAGATAGCTCAATACCCTCATAGGCCTCGAAAGAGCCTTAACCCCCTTTTTGGTCTGGATAGAACCAATAGGATATAAACTCATAGGTCTGGATATAACCTTCCCCTCTTTTGGTCTGGAAAGAACTAATTGATTCCTTAGTTCGAGCCCGAACTACGACCGCTCTGATTTCTCATTGGACAATGAGAATACATAGGCACAAGATGCGATATCTTGACGAGCAACCTTCCCCTTCACTATGAGTGTTTACAACTGGAACCCTAGGATAGAGTTGTTAACTCTATGTAAGGATCATGGATATGATCACTTACTTCCCCCTTTGAGTGTTACAACATAGACATAGAGAGTTTTGTGAAACTCTACACAAACATTATTATGTTTGTTCCCCTTTTAACCTTGATCGCAATCAAGCGTTCTTCAACCCTAGTGAGGTGAACTACGATTGCTCTGATTCTATCCTAGTTAGGATACGTAGGCAGAGGACGCGATGTCTTTGCGAGCAAACTTAGAAACAATCTTAGGTCTTCATCTATCATAACCTTCACCTTTTTACCCAATACCAAAACCTTAGCAAATATTTAACAAACTTAGCATACAAACAAACAAAAGGTTCCTGTAGAGTACTACAAATGTTTAGGATGTGAAATACCTACCCTATGCATAACCAACCCCCGATCCCCGAATCTCTTAGCGTTGTTGTAACATCGCGCAAAAGGTTCTTTCTTTCTTTAGACCTTTCCTTTGGATAAATTAAAGTCCGGTTGTAAAAGAATTAAGGTTCAAGTTAATTCAATAACTTGATATCCGATTTTCACCGCAACAGAAATGGCGACTTCACTGGGGAGACTTAACTTGAGGGTTTAGCCTATTTTGTTTGTTTATATGCTATATTTGTGAATATTTGCTTAACATGTATATTTGTCAATATATTTGTTTGTGGTTGGATATTGGGTGCTTTGAGTGGTGAGACAGTACTATACCCGTACTTGAGTGCACTTATGATAGGATGGTGGTATATTCAAGAAGGCTTATAGGGAGTTGATTCCCGACCAAGCTAACTTGAAAAACCACCGCTCAGTGTAGGCCCTTTTGAGAGTTAGTGATGTTGAATGAGTATTCATGAAAACATTACTACTCTCAACAAAGGAGTCGTTGACACTGTGGACCTTTAGATTACATTTTCACCCCACTTTGGCCTTGTTAGGACGTAGTGT